GCATTTTCTCTGTTTAGTTGGATTAAAAATTTATTTGCATTTATTTCTTTATTTAATCTTTTTTTTACAGGGTATGTAGGGCAGCTGTGGTGCAGCCAACTTGGGATCAGAAAGTTGCAGTTTCGATCATCTATTCTCCCTACCTGCTCCCAGGGCAGCTTCAGTAGCTGCCTGCTGCTCCACTTGGCTGCATCTCACACATGTGATGAGTTCAACACAGAGCACCCTAGGCCTTAAAGCGGCAGCATCAAAAACAAATCAAACCTCTAACTTCTAAAAGTATTCTTCATATAAATAATGCGTTACAAAAGCTGCATTCAAAGCATCCTTGACACACTGCAGCTGCTAAATGTTACATTTCTTCAAGGAAATCTGAGAGGTGAAACAATTTCTACCTGCTTTCATCTTTTAGCAACAAAAAAGGTTTAATTAAAAACATCAAATAAAAAAATTAACTGTTTAAATGTGTGAAACATTATATATTTAGGGTGTAATGTCTGCGCTCAACRTTATAGGTCATACAGCGAGTGAGCGGAGAGTCCTGGGGTCAAAGTGCAACCTCTCCCCTGGTGCCAGCCGCTGCTTCTCCAGATGAAGCTCTCGGAGCTCGTGGAGCTCCTCTAAACCCTCCACCACAGTGATTCTGTTCCCACCTAAATACCTGCAGAGCAAAGAAATAAAAAACCATCAAACACACCGTTCAGAGTMATAAATAACACGAAACAAGACGGCTGTCGGCTCACAGTTTGGAGAGTTTCTGCAGACCGTGCAGATGATCTATCTGAGTGATGTTGTTGTTCTGAATGTACAGATGGGTCAGGTTGGAGGCAAAGCCAAGGTTGGGGATGTGAGKTATCTGGTTGTCGTACAGGTAGAGAACTGTAAGGTTCCTACACATGGAAAGATCTCCCTAAAAGTCAGGTTAAAATGAAGAAATTAGTGTTTATATTGAGAATCTACAAGAGTTAGGAGCAATGATGCCGACTACTCACAACGTCGTCAATATTCTGGCTGGAAAAGTGGAGGTGGGTGAGGGTCCTGAGGTAGTCTGGGAAAGAGAGGCCCCTTTTCTTTTGGAAGTGGTTTTTCGACCTGGCTACCAGGTCTACGGTCAGACGGACCATGATGGCTCGACACAGGTAAGATCTTTTTCAGGGTGACCCACTTACTCAGCTCACAGCAGAGACTTGTGCTGTTGGTTTGGGAGCAAAATGGATAAATATTAGTTGAAAAACAAACTCCTCTTGGTGATTATTTACTGCAGGGCTTTTCAACTCCCAATTGGTTCGTTCACCTCTGAAGCCCAGACCCCCAGTTTTCTACTTTAAGTTATTTTAGTTAAAGATAGACATGTTTGGTGTCTACAGAAACTTCAGAGTCTTGGCTAGAAACTGGTAAAAATAAAAAAAAAAAACATTTCTATGAACATCCAAGACAGTTAAGACGACAAGCAGTTGGAGATAAAATTATGAAAGCGACAATAAAATTGGTTTAAAAATTTGACAAGTCAGAGATGTCAAAATAATATTTGTGTTTTGATATTGTTTAATTATCACTCCTTTTATTATAGGGTTCTGTATGTTGTATGCATGATTAAATGCAGCAAAATAATTTTTTYCAAAGGTAACAGATCTTTGTAATACTTGGTTTAATTGCATAAAAAAGTCATAAAAAGTTATGACCGAGGGGATTTTTTTCCACGCTTGATCTCATGTTTATCATGTCGAGGTTMCAGAAGAGAAGAGACACTGATCGATCACATCCAGCTGAACTATAGACAGAAACAATCGGCTAATTGAACTCACAAACACCCCCTGGGCCTCTCATTTCTACAGGGAACAAGCAGGGGGGAGCACTTTATCACTGTCAAATAAAAATACGACACACATACCTGTCATAGCACAATACAGAAGACAGCACTTTTTTCAGAGAGCTAATTAAAATGCACTAGTTAGCATGTGTTCGTAATTGTAACATACTCGGTAAGTTTCCTAAAAATACATAAACAAATATCAATTCGGGCAGCAAAAGCTAAAAGAGTAACTTACTTCTCTTACCTGTTAGGATAMTATGAGAATTTCTAAAGAATTATCCAACTTAAGAACTTTCAAAGCGCTTAGTTAAGATGAGTAGTTTGGATGTTTGGAATAAAGAAAGTGGTTGCTGTGGAAACTACGGAGACTGCGCAGGAGTCACGCAAACAGGAAGTGAACAAAAACGTGTTATAATAAGGAATTATTTCAAATAAAATATTATTGTTCTTGATTTGAAAATTAATTAAGCAAAAAATATATATTAAAAAAATATAAATACTAAAGAAATTAATTCTGATCATTTTTTCACCCTTATCACTCAAAAGAAATGTAATCAATATTTATAAAATAATCAAAACATATCCTAGGACCTACAGGCTACATTTAAAACAATGATTTAAACCACTTTAAGACATACAGTGCAAAAATTCTTAAATCCAATAATAATGTTTTTATTTGGCTTCCAAGGACACAGATCTTTTGAAGTGGCCTTGTCCAGTTTTTCCTCAAGACTATCAAAAACCCCTTTAAAGTTTTCCTCTAGACTTTAGCTGCGTTTTTGCTCATCGCTTCCCCAGTTACCTGATCATGAAATAACAGGGTGCACTGTGTGTGCAGTGTGTGTGCCAAGTGGAGGACAAAATAAGTGTCAGAAGTGAAGACATCTTCAAAAGATTACAAGAAAGCCTCTCATTGGACTCAAAACCTTTGCAAAGTATTGTATATTATCATATACTACGTTCTTTTTGTAATTGAGATAATTGTTCCCCACATTACAGGAATTGTTTCAAAAGACCATACCAAGTCACAAACTTACCACTTCCACTGACCCCTAGATTGTGCCATGACGAGTTTCCTGAGGAGAAAGACTTGCCTCCACTTCTGCAAAAGCTAATAATTGAGAGGAAGTGTTGAGCCTACATATTTTGAAGCTACAGCTCTTATATGTGTTTAGGTCCAAGTACTTATGTGTCAATAACACACAGTCAATAATGAGACTGTTAAACTGCTCCATGCAATTTTGGAGGAGGTAGGGGCTTTAAAATCAAAATAGAAAATGTGGGTAATGCATTTTTGGTTGTCCACAATGTAACTTGATTTAAATTACAACTTAAGTCATGCAAACAAATCTCCAGCTGGGATAATCCCAATATTTACATATTTAACAAGTTCAATATATTTCAACAAATCTAAACTCAACACGAAAAACCAAACTTCAGTAAAACTATTTTCAGTGTGCATCTTTTCAAATATTTCYTCAGCACCGTGATGATCACATCAAGCCAAACACTTGGGCTTTTTTTTTCCTTTTTTAAATAGAATGTGCGAAAAACCTTTTACGTTTCTTCTTTCTACATCAATATATTGGAAAAACCCTCCGTTTGGAAGACGTTTAAAATAATAGCAAAAGAAAACCATTATAAAAAGTCGTGCCAAAGCTCATGTGTGTTGAGAAAAAGCAGGCATCTACGCAGTCCCGCCGGGATTCCCTCCCCTGCAGTACGTGACATAAAAATATACATTTAGCCATTACAATGCCATAAAAACAAGACGTGACACAAACCCAGTCCAAAACAGCTGTCAGTTAAAAAAAAAAACACACACACACAACACAGACTTGGTGAGTGTCCTCTGCGACGGAGAGCAGACACGTTGGGTGAATAGGCTCCTGTGTCCACAGCTTCTGTCTCTGCGCTGCATCACCGCCTCGCCACAACCTGCCCRGCCCAGCGTTACGCCAACGCATCTAAACCTGAGTCGAGCAGCGCGGGGAGCGACTCCGCAGAGACGTCCCACACACGGCAGCCGATCCCCTCCCGAGGCTGTGCAGAGGCTGGAGTTTGTTGTTCCATCATGTAACGCTGGGTCACGCCGCACATCAGGGACTGGGTTAGAAGTTAACTGGGCTGTTATTAAAAATGAGCTGCAGAGATTTACGTGAGGAAAGGTGTTTTAAATCAGTAGCCACATTAGAAACAGACATATAAGTTTAGGAGTGAGTATTTGAGAAATAACATCCATAGTAATCCATTTTTATTGTGTTTTATAACTCAATAAAAACCCATATACTGTCATTTTAAATATGCATGAAGTACTCAGACACTTTCAATTTTTACATTTTATTTTATGCATTCTCAGACACGTCTATGACAAAAAAAAAAGTAACTAATCACATCGAATTGAAAAGATGCAACATTTACCAGTAAACCATCCGTACGCATGCACAAGAAACCATTAGCAGGTAAAAACCCAGGCTGCCTCGTGGTTAGGCTTTAATTAGCGGATGTGTTGATTTGATTGAAGAGTTTGTCCTTAATGACTTGAGACATCAGACCATGAATTGCCTCTATGGTTGTCTTGCAGCTAAAACAAAGCAGGGAGAAAAATAAAAAGCCATTAGCATTTACTGCAGAAAAACAGGTGCAGCATAAAGAAATACATCTGGTGCTGGCAGCCGTACGCAAGCAATTAAATGTGAAGTTGTTGTTTTAGGGACACATTTGAGGCGTAAACATAAAATATAATAAATTAAATATTGCTTCAATGTTGATTAATTTGCATTTGTCCTAAAAAGCATCTGATAGAGTATACATGTTCACTGATGAAAACAACCTAAATGAGGTAAGGACTTATTTTAAAACTCAAATGACTTCTCAATAATAATAATTAACCGATTCTATTAAAAAAAATAAAGACACTTGATTCAAATAACTCATGTATCAAAAATATTAACCATCTATACTTAATACCCAACAAAATGCCTTGTTATTGATCAAACATTTGCAATAAAAAGCCATGTTTGCATGACTCAAAAATAACAGATATTTCATGTCATGTCACAATGTCGGCGGTGGCTGAGTGGGTCGGGGAGTCGTTCCTCTAACGTGAGAGAAAGCTGCTATTCTGTCACGTTGACGTGTCCCTGGGCAAGGCACCGAACCYGTGCTGCCTCTGATGTGTCCCATCAGTGTATGGATGTGATTTAAAGCACTGATTAGTCTCCATGGTGATTAACTTGCATTAGTTTTGTAGTGAGATCTAGTAGTGTGCTGTGTGTGTGTGTGTGTGGGGTGGGGGGGTGTTTTTGGTGACATTTGGGGGCAATTTTAAGACAAAATGCCTACATTTGGGGACAACTGGTGCATTTGGGGACCTAAGTCAAGTCCCTGTTTGGTTTAAATGCCATTGGTGGGTTGGGGGTTTGGTTTAGGACCAAGGTGTGAATTGAGTTTAGGTTAGTTTTGGGGTCAGGTAGGTACCTGTGAGGTTAGCTTTAGGGTTTGTGGTCAGGGTTAGGCTGTAGAAATGTAATGAAAGTCAATGGAATGTCCCCAAATGGATAGCTGAGCAAATGTGTGTGTGTGTGTGTGTGTGTAAATGAGAACACAGATTGTAGTGTAAAGCACTTGGTTGGATAGAAAGCTGCCATGTAAATACAGTCTATTTACCATTTACAAAAAACACTAAAAAAGATAATATAGAGAAAGAAACCAGCTCCCATATTTTTTTCCTGTCGATGGTTAATCACTGAAGTGATTGGAAACAGACTGACAATACAGACGTCCAAGGAAGGACGTACGACTGCGTATTTACACGTCAATTTATACGTCATCATATTTAAAAACCTGATCATAGGATGTAAATTCATATTTTTGTAAATTCATAGTCTGTAAATTCCTATCCTGTACATTCATAACCTGTATATACTTATACTTAAAAGCTATAACATATTAAAACAAATTACAGTGCATTTGTAATATAATATACTGCACATATTTATATTTCTTGCCAAGCACTTCTGGATGGATGCAAACTGCATTTCATTGCCTTGTACTTGCAACATGTGCAGTGACAATAAAGTTGAATTCTATTCTATTTTGTTGAGTAAAGTAAGGACATAAATGTGCTTTATTTACACTAAMTGCACACCTGCATTTTAAAACGGCATAATCTGAAATATATGGAAAACTACTGGAATTAACTCTTCCAAACCACACCATTTAAAAACATTTTAAATGTTTTAATTCATACTTTACAATCAGTACATTTAATATTTTATTAATTACAGTATTATGTGAATAAAAAATAAGCTTACTAAATTAAATGTAATAAATCACTATTTCAGAAGGCTTACTGCAAATAAGAGTGGCTTATATAATACACAGATAACTGTTTGATTCTAACCCTCCATCCTAAGTGTTTTTCTTTGCCTATAAATATAAATATCTACCTGTCTCGTGTGGCTTTGGCCAGTTTGTCCTCAGACTTCCTGTCGTGTGTGTCCAAGCCGAGCATGAAGCTGCCTCTGCCGAGCTGCGCCTCGGACTGCTCCAGCTTCTCCGACAGGTCGAACACCTGGCCTGTRGTGTAGTCTGAGTTCTGACCATCCAACACAGACAAAAACAATTCATGAACTATTTACTAATGAAAGTTAGACAACTGCAGAGATTTTTTTTGTGTTGTGTTGTTCCCCCACAAAGAACAGCAACAAATCTAACACACCGTGGGGACACTTTGAGAGCTGTAGTGAATGACTGAAAGTCAGTGAAACGTTTGCTTAAGGTTAGGTTGTGTTTATAAAGGAAAAGGTAATTAAGACACAATGACACGGGGGGGCACTGACAGGGGTGACAGTGTAACAACTGACAAAGCCCGTCACCCCGGGAGCAGCTCATTCTTGACATTTAGTCAATTCATCTTYATCCAGAATGCCAAAGAGCTTACTGTTTGTAAAAGCCTGATGTCTATTCAAACTGTTTAAGGAGCAACTGTGACCACGATGAAAATTCATACAAGGAGCCCTCAAACTATAAGACGAACTGCGGGAGAAAGACGAGGGCTCGGATCGCCGGACCCTCGGCCAGCTTTCCTGCTCCTCTTTGTTAAAAAGTTCACATAAAGCTTATTACTAAAACCAATAAACAAGAAGGCTTAGCTAATACGTGGCAATAAATCACAACATCACAAGCTGGTGACCACATGTCTAAATGACTTATAGAGTTATAATTAACCATAAATCAAAATGCCAAACAATTAGCGCACATTTTGATTTCTGTGGTTGTTTACATACCGTCAGGAGGCTGGAGGAACTTAAGGTATTAACCCAGTATTTATTCCAGAGGAGCTCCAGGAGCTTTCTATCAAGGGAAGACTTAAAGTAAGTTACCTCCAAGGCGTAATACCTACAAATCAAAGAGAAAACGTGAGCCACCACAGACACATCAAATAGTTACTGTGTACTTTAATATAACATGTGAAGCTACTCACTGTTTACAGTGCACACCAAAATCTTCTATTTTGTTCAGAGGGATTGTCTGGTATTCTGACGGCCCCTCATCTGGAGGTTTGTAACCCTGAAAATGCAGGAAAAAATAAATAAACAGCTTTTTTTAATAATAAAATATATTAAGACAGTGTGGTATTTACATAAAATGCTTAATATCATGACAAAAATACAAGAGTGAAACCGAAATTTAAACTCATTTAATTAATTCATAAAGCAGCCAATTTAAAAAAAAACTGATATTTTTGCTGGTTTTGATTTTTAAAGAACTTAAAAATCAGAAAAAAAAATCTGTGGTATCGATCAAGTTTTTCCGTTACCTTGGGGTAAGTTCTAAAGGCACCGAGGTTGACTTTCCCCGCAGAAATAGTCCGAGTGGGGTCGATCTGTGGAAAGCGTGATACAGTAGAACAGGAAAACAAAGTCAGAGGTCGCACAATCCTCCAGGGACCACTCAAATCTGGCCACCAGGAGCCTTGTGCCGGCGCTGTCAGTGTGTCTAACACACACACTTAATTACGCGACGCCCCTGGCATCCAAGTGCCGCTGTACCAAATGAAGTGTAAATATGTTTGCAACAGCAAAATAATAATCTGTACAACACAAAAAGATACAACTAATACATCAATTACCTTCTCGGTTACACCTACATTTTTGTTTATTTTCATAAGGAAGGAAAAGGATTACTCATATTCTGATTAGTCTTTTTACAGAACTGGAAATCACAGCAAACAAAACTTAGAAAATAGAGAATGTGCAGTTCCCGTCTCACCACAACGGCAACAAAGGGTTCCTGAAACTGCTGGTTGAGCATCTGAGTGCTGACATCGATGCCTGAGAGCCAGCAGCCGTAGCCGGGGTGACTGTGGTACCAGCCAATGGCGTTCTCCAGCCGGCCGACCTAAAGCCAGGAAAAAAAAAAAATTAAACAAACRTTTTTCAGAAATATGAACCTGGAAAAACATTGATGTTAAAATTACTGCTGTCAGTACAGAAACATGAGTCAAAACGGCAAACAGCTTCTCCATTTGAGCTGGGATGTTTCTGAATTTTCTGTTTAATAAGACAAGATTTTCTGAACCAAATCAACCTGGTAGTTATATTGAGAGGAAGGAAAATACAATTTTTTATCTTTATTTTTTTTATTCATGCAAAAAAAAGAAGTAAAACAGAAAATGGAGAAACAATAATACTTCCTACCAGAAAATATTAATGTTAGCAAATTTGAGTAAAAATAATTTGAGTAGTTTATTACTCCAGCACTTTTATTTATCTTAGAAAGAACAAAACAAAACAAATTAAAACAACCTGCATTAGTATTTCTCATTAGTCACTATTCTGCTAATTTAAAAATATCAATAAGCAGCATTTGCTCAAAATAATCTATTTGTATAAATCTTTGTGTGCGCAAAACTCAATGAATAAAACTAAAAAAATAGTTAAAGGTTCACACTCCTGTGTTTGTCGCTGGTTCTGAGAGAGCGCGGGTGAACAACTTATAGATTCCTAAAAATCTGCATCAAGTCATGTTTAACACAAAGAGTGGCAAATAAGGCTAAAAATATTTTGTTTTTGTTGGGAAACGTAATTAAAAATTGCAAGCAGTTTTTTTTTCCTGCAACACTCATCCATCTATTTTCATTATTTGCTTCTCCTTTTCTGCTCACCGGCAGCTGGTGTCTATTCACAGTAGTCACTGTGTAAGAAACAGACTACACCTAGGACGTGTCTCCAGTCCATCACAGGGACATATAAGGGACAAATGAGACAGACAACCAGTCACAATTACAGTTTAGAGTYACCAATGAGCCTAACGTGAATGTTTCTGCAGTGGGATGAAACCAGTCGCTGTGCTTTTCTTGTGATACACCTCCACCCATTGAGTTTAGTCTTTATTTTGCCATTATATATGCTTTTATTTTTGTTTAAGTGCAACTGGTTATAACTCAATTCAAAAAAATCCTATATTAGATCATTTTAATTCTAGTGCAGATTAAAGGCCCTGTCACACTAGACAACTTATGCCAACTTATGAAACATTTTTATGTCTAAATTGCTAATAAAAGTTGTATATTTGATCAGTTTGTTAGAATTACAGTACATGCATGCCTAAAAGAAGTYTCCARTWRWTTTTTTCAATTCCATCTTCTACRTAAWGTCTTTAAATTCTTCACAAGTTGGCATAAGTTGTCTAAAACGTCATAGTACGACAGGGCCTTAAGAGAACAGCTTCTCATTAAGTGCTGCACCACTTTTCATCCTGCTGTCCTAAAACTGAGACGCTTCAGGGATCATTTTGACCCAAGGCCAACAGGAASGTTAATATAAACCTGTGAGTATTTCTAGTTCGTTCTGTGCGAGTCGAGCTCTCACCTGTTTGGCATTTTCAATATAAGCAGCCATGTATTCATAAGCTGCAGCCTGGGCATTGACTCTGGTCTCTGTCCCCTCCACGGGCAGAGCAAAGCTGTCCATAATGATCATGGTCTCGCCATCCACCTTCCCCAGCATGAGTCCCATCACCTCCAGGTTTCCACCTGACCTGGCGTGCATCACCATCTTCAACAGGGCCAGAGCTGAGATTTTGCAGTATTTGAAGTAGTGGTGACTGAAAAGGATAAAGAACCACACGTGATTGAGTCAATCCACATGTAAACAAATACAGCTTTAAAATAAACAATAATCGATACAAGATAAAAGTAGCTAAACAAATATATGGTCTTGTAAAATAAGTACATTTCTCGTTTAGACTTACTCTTTCGTCCATGGCTTGGCGGCGAGGATTTCTTGTTGTTGTTTTTTGTCATATTTGTAAATTTCGTCGATGCTCTGAACTTCCTGCATCCTGTTGGAGAGCTCCCACGTTTTCTGCGCCGTGCTGCTGCCAGCCATGATGAACTATCCGAACCGCAAAGACAAAAGAGTCGCTAAGAGCCCGAATTTCGCCCTGAAACGACGAAGAAAGGAGATATTTCAGTGAAGAAGAACGAGGCCCGTCGTCCACCACCTCAGGAAGCCATGACAGTGGRTGATACCAATACCGGAACATTGAGGGGAACCGTGTGTATTAATACGTCTTAAAATGTGCTATTTAAGCTGAAACATGGTACGTCTTCCTTCAGTAATTTTATGTTTTAAATATAAATATGCAAATTTAATACAACTATACGTGTTTTTTCATCATTTATCAATTTCCAAATAAACAGAATCACCCCTTTAAAGTGGTATCATCCAGATAAGGCTCACTGTTGTGGACGCACTGCCCTCTAGCGGCAGTTTATTTTTATTCAGGCTCGTCAGACTTTTGTTTTAGGGCCTTATAGATAGCTTAATTATGAATTAACTGGAACAGGTGTTTGACAGAGGTATTGAATCCGGTTATATGCTAAAATGGCTTGCCATAGCGGTATAAATGTAATGAAAAGGCCCTTTTAAGCCAGGCTCAACACAATCGAGTCTAGTTTGTGTTTGTAATTGTCACTGTCAAAACGTGAACTTTTAAGTTTTCACAGGTTGACACGAGACAGAAAACTAATTCTTCAATATTATCTTTTTAGGTTTAATTGTGACACGTTTGTTTACATTTTAGCAGCGTTAGCAGCGTTGGCTAGCCTCCCGGGASGAGCTTTGTGTTATGGTTGCCCCTGGCAACGACGCCATCCACACCGCGCTTCGGAAAAGAGCTCTCTTCAACTGCGGATACAATTTATACAAATGCTGTGTTTCCCTTTATATTTACGATTATAGTCGAGTTCTGAACCCAGCGTCGCTCGTGTTTGCATCATATTAAAATGCTGTTAAAGGTATGGGAAGTTTTTCGAGGAAAAGCTCAGAAACTTTACATTTGCCAACTTTGAAGTGCGACACAACAAGGCAGGGTGAGTAAAGGCAATGATGCTACGGAAACACCTCAAGCTATGAATAAATCAGTCATTTTTGTGTTAATGCTTTTTTTAATTGAAAGATGTAAATAATTATCCAAAGTGCAGACAGTTTGAGCAGCACACAGCCGTTTCAGACAAAAACTATTGCGGCTGGTTGCATTTTTATGGTATTTGTGCCACAACAGAAGAGAAACAGCCTTTATTGTCCCGCATGTGGAAATTCAGGTGTAATAGCAACAGATCCATAATCCACAAAAACAGTATGTGACATTATCAGCTGTTGCTATTTTTAATTCTATTATTATTATTGCTACAGTTGATAATGTCACATTGCTGTGTGACATTATCAACTGTAGCAATAATAATAATAGAATTAAAAATAGCAACAATAAAAAATAAACATACAATAAAATAAAAATAAGAATAAGAATTACTGTACCGGACTATCAAGATGAAATTAGATAAAAATGAGAATAAAAGCAAGATAAAGCGCAGAAAAACACAAAATTACAAGAAAAAAAAACCAATCCTGACAGACTCATGATCCGAGAGGCTGTGCAGTCGAACTCAGTTAGTGTTCCAGTACAAGAAAAAAGAGGTACAATTGTCACAGGTTATTATTTATGTAAAGATTGAGAGCTAGAGTTGTTTGACACACACACAAATTATATATATATATATATGAAAGTTGGTGTCATTTAAATTTTCAGAGTCAATAGCATGTTTAGTCTTAAAGAGATAAAAGCAGTGGTTATAGACAAAGATATTACACTGGTTTAAAATGATTTGTTAAAAGCTTTTTCTAGTCTAGGTCATGAGTTTATGCAATCTTAATTTTGAGAATCAAAACCTGAACTATTTATCCAAACCAATGAAATATGCTGTATTTTTCAGGTTTGTGTTTTCAGCTGGGAAGTGACTATGAAAAAAAGAAGCGCAAACTTCTGCAGGAGCTGCAGCTGGACTACAAACAATATGTCAACAAGGTCATTTACTTACAAATTAAATAAATGATTCACTGTTTTAAGA